GAGCCCATTAGGCTCCACTGTAGTTTCAAACCCAAGGTCACTCAGCCAGCCTTACCTAAACTCAGTGGGTTTTGAAATAAAACAAAAGACATGAACATGGGAAAGGGACCTGTAGGAAAGAACAGGGGAGGGGTGTGGGGAGTCACCAGAATGGATTATATACATGTATGATGTCAGCAAGCAAATTTAATTATTTTTTAAAATATAAAAAGCCTATAAAATTTAAAATTTTAATGGTGAAAACAACAATCTTCTAATTAGTTTCTCTAATCTAATGAGGCTTGACTATATCAATTTCTAAAAGCATAGTTCTAAATTCTAGGAAAGCCCATTGCAATTAAAATGGGCAACACGATAAGATGATTTGGAGAGTGCTGAATCAAAGGCTTCCCGATCCTCCAATTAAGATGTCGCCAAGCTCATAATACCATCCACATGAAGATATTCCAATTATGAGCATAATGAAATTTGATATTTTTATTCTGCAAAATTGGTTTCAGAACCACTATAAGCCTTTGTCTTCATTGATCCCAAGTTTACATTTGAAAGGGAGGATGGCTAGGATATGGCACTAATTGTAGAACTTATGTTGTGCAATAGATCTGTTCACCTCATTCCTCCTGGTTACATGAAATATTTTGTCCTTTAGTGGCTATTCCTGCCCCACTCTCCACCCTGACTCTTATGCTTTGATAACCACCATTTATTTTTCCATTTCTATAATACAACATTTTTCACATATGTGACATCATTCAGTATCTGACTTTCTTTGCCTGATGTGTTTCACTGATCATCCATATTGTCAAAAAAAAAAAAGCAGCTCCTTTTCTTCTTAATAAAGTCTGAATGATATTCTTGGTATATAACCACATTTTCCTGATGACAGACACTTAGGGCGATTTCTTCTCTTGGGGTGGTGAGTGATATGATGAACACGGAAGTTTGGACGTGGGATCTGATGAGTTACTGTTTCATCTCCCTTGAGTATGTGCCCGATAGTGGGAAGGATGGATTATACAGTAGCTCTGTTTTCAGTTTTCTGAGGTGCTTCCATACTGTTTTCTATAATGGCTGTACCAATTTATATTCCCACAAGAGCAGACAAACTGCTCCTTCCTCTGCATCTTCACTTATATTTGCCAACTTTCATCTTTTCTGTAACAGTCATTCTAAAAGTACAAGGCGATGCCTGTCATTTTAACGTCATGAACATTACCAAGAGAGATTTCAACTGTTTCCACCATAAAGATGACAATTGTGTGAGAAAATGCATATTAATTACCTTGAAACATCATGTTGTAGGCTATAAATACATTTCTTTTAAACAAATGAATCTTAGCATACAACTGACGGTGACATGGAGCCAATTCTTGGTCTTCCTTATAAGAGGGTGTTTCCCTGACTGCTTCCCACAAGTTTCATTCTCAGGAGGGTAAAGAATGTTCTGGAATGGCAACTAAGGCCACAGAATGACATAATGTGATTAAGCAAGTTTCATGTAGCATCATGCTTTATTTCATAAATATTGCACTGTTTGCATACGATCCAATCTTATTCTTAACATATGCCTAGATAAAGGGATAAAAATATCATTATTAAGAAAAATGGTTGGCTGTTTGACTTGCACACAGGCAGAATTGTTATCATTAAAGAGTTTAAAAAAACTATTTTGATAGCAAATTCTGATATTTCTGCAGTACATATTTTTCTCATTTTCATGTGTTTTTAATAAAAGTAAGTCATTAGCCGAACCTGGAAAAAATGGTTGATAAAATTAAGCTAGAAACAATATAAGAATATTGATGATCATTGGTATTTTGTTATAAGGGGGTTGGGCACACATATATTTTCTTAAGTCCATTTTCAGAACAATGAGTAACTTCCAAGTCAAGTGAATGGAAGACTTAGGAAGCACACGAGATTGTTATTAAATGAAAGCCACATTTCCAAAGCAAGGTTTGTTCAGATTCTTGTTGAATATTCAATTTTGAGAGTATGCACTAAACCCCAGATAATCTCCTTGGGAAACTCCAGAATAAACATTTTACCCAAATCTCTTTGTAAACATCAGCTTTGCTCAAGTATGCAAGACCATGCCTTAGATTCATTTTCAACAAACCCACTTTATTCGCAGCTGTCCATATTATTTGGCCTCTTAGAAATTTGATTTTTATTATTCCGTTGGATTTCTTTCTAAAGTTGGAATTTTACACCACATACTTCTCCCCTGTTGATTGGTGTCAGTTGAAAACTCTTATGAAAAAGAAGGCATAATTTTCCTTCACAGAACAATCCATTCCATAGAATTATTCCAAGAGCCAAATCTTGGCATCTCACAGTACCAAAGTCACCTCTCATGATTATGAGGTCTTCATCTTCATTTGAAATTAGTTTAGACTGTGTCTGGGAACAGAGAAGAGTTCACTCTGGGGACCCTAAGAAATACTCAGCTATGAATGATTAAGTCATTACATGTCCCATCTGAACAAAAAGGAATTTTGGCTAATCCTCAGTGTTCCACAGTCATGTCGAACCTTGCAATACTGGATCATGAACCACAATGTGTGGTCTCAAATTCAGAGTGGATTATTCTCTTCCCTCATAAAATCGGAAGAAGGCTGGAATGTGTATGTAAAACGCAAATAGTTATGGCAGAAATGGGGAAGGTAGGAAGTAGGTAGGGAAAGAGGATGGAAGCCAGAGAGAAGTGAGGACAGAAGGAGGAAAGAAAGTTTTCTGTAGGTTGAATTCCAAGGCACCACATGCTGAACGTTCTCTCACTATAAATGACAGGAACCACTCTATGACCAGAGTGCTGTAATCTGCTAAATGCAGGTGTCTTGCAATATATTAGCCTTCGGCTTCCTTGGGTTCATGTGTACTTTGTGTCATCTGACATTACCTTTTCCTTCTACACAGGCAGCGGCCTGTATTTACTTTTCGTAATGAGGCAAGGGGCAATGCATTTCTTTAGTAAAAAGCTCCTGGAATACCTTTTTAAAAAATTGGGGAAATAGGAGTTCTGGGGTACCCTTCCAGACTTCAGGACTTTGTCCTAAAATCTGTGAATCCTAGATATACAGGAATTCTTCCTTCTACCTGTACATCCTCCCATCCATCCAGCAGCCAGTTAACAGAACTTAATTAACCCCTACTCTGTCACAGGAGCTGGGGATAAAGCATATGCAAAAAAAAAAAAAAAAAAAAAAAAAA